TTGAGTCATGGTGTGCAGTTGGGGGTTACTATGACTGCTATCTGCAGTTCAGCGGATCAAATCTCACCGGCTCAGGGTTGACCCAAAATTCCATCCTTCCGAGGAGGGTAAAATGAGGACCCAGACTGTGGGGGCGATAGGCTGACTCTGTAAACCGCTTAGAGAGGGCTGAAAGCCCTATGAAGCGGTATATAAGTCTAACTGCTATTGCTATTTGAAAAAAGGGGATGGAAGCATTGAGCCAAATGACTTTGTGCTGTTAATCCTTGTTGGCTCACTCTTCTCTCTGGGGTGTCCGCAGCCTGCAGGCACCGGCGAGGAAGACATGGTCAGCCTGATCCGCTCCTACGACGACCTGAGCCGCAAGCTCTGGCACCTGGAGGGGATGCCCTTAACGGTGACGGCGGTACAAGGAGCTCACCCTGCCCTTCGCTACACAGATGTGAGTTGTTTGGCGATGCTGGGGGAGGGGGTGGCAACCCACGAAAGAAACCTTTGGGGGCACGGGTAGTCCTCGGCTTACCACTTGAGCCCCAAATTTCGGCTGCTTACCGCGAACGGTTGTTCAGCGAGCTTTTGCCCCGTTTTAACAATCTTTCTTGCCACCGTTGTTAAGTGAATCGCTGCAGTCGTTACGTTAGTCGCCCAGTTGCTAAGTGGCTTGTCAAAAGGGGGGGTGTCACATGATCCAGCGACCCTGCAGCCGTCATGACTACGAGCCAGTTGCTCTGAATTTTGATCACGCTGCGATGGTCGTAAATGGCCGTAAGTCACTTTTTTTCAGGCCGGTTGTAACTTTGGACGAACTGTTGTAAGTTGGGGACTACCTGTATACTGGGGGTGGGGGTTGGAAGGAAGGAAGGGGGTCTTAGGAACCTTTGCTGAAGCCATCAAACAGCTGCATTCTGCCCAGGTTGAAGTTCTCAGTCTGTTTCTTCTCATCTGGGCTTGTCCTACCCAGATCATTTGGGGGGGGGGGTGTCGCTGTGCCTGGGGCGACCAAAATGGGGGCAGAACTTTCCTGTGGGCGTACAAACCCCAGCACTCTTGACTGACTGAAAATCCGAGAATTTGCAGAGAAGAGCAACCAAGATAATCAGGGGCCTGGAGGCTACATTGGGTGACAGTGATGGCAAACCTTTTCAGCACCCAGTGCCCAAATTGAAGCCGGAGCGCCGGAAATCCGAACCACTAGCTGGCCGGCATGCACATTTCTTGTTAATGGGATGTTTTCAGGCCGATTTTTAGGGCGAAAACGGTGTGAAATCATCCTAAAAAACAGCCTGAAAAAATTGCCTGTTTTGGGCTGGTTTTTGAGCCATTTTCAGGCTAGTTTGGGGGCAGTTTTCTGGTACTCCAGTGCCCATGAAGACCAGCTGGTGACGGCACACGTGCCCACAGAGAGGGCTCGGCGTGCCACCTCTGGCAGGCGTGTTACAGGTTCGCCATCACAGTTGTATGATGAACCGCCATGGAGCTTGGCATAAGAAGCCTAATGAAGAGAAGCCTTAGGAGAGAAATGATAGCAGCCTTCCAATATTTGAGGGGTTGCCACAAAGAAGAGGGAGTCAAGTTATTCTCCAAAGCACCTGAGGGCAGGACAAGAAGCAATGGGTGGAAGCTTCTTAGAGGGGAAGCCAATTTAGAGAGAAGGGGAAACTAACGACTGGAACAGCTTCATTCCCAGGGTTGTCGGTGTTCCATCACTGGAAGTTCTCAAGAAGACATTGGGAAACCCTTTGGTAGGGACCAGTGAGATGCAGTCAGCTTTATGGCTGGTGAGGCACTTTTTAGACTTGTGGACTTCAACTCCCAGAATTCCACAGCCAGGCATACTCAGTTCTGATTTAAAGCGACAGCATTTTTCCCCCTTGCAAAATAAGTTTTCCTATTTTTTTCTTCGCCCTCCCCCTCCTTCTTCCCTCTCTCCCTCCCTCCCCCCTTTCTCAAACAGACACACGCACACAGAGAACTTGGATCCCTCACTCATTCTCAAACAAACACAAACACAGAAGTTGGATTGGATATATTTTCCAAAGGCTTGAAAGCAGCTCCTCTGCCATACCCCCCCCTTCCCCTGCTGCCTTCCGATCAAATTTTTTGAATTCCTCCCCCCTCCCCACACACGCACCTTTTTCCAGCTGTTTCAGAGAGGATTTCAACTCTGCTTCTTCCTGCCCTGCCCTCCCCTCATGAAAGGCCAGAGCTCTGAGTCAGACTGAGCTAGTTGCTCCCAGAGAACTCTAAAAAGCCTCTAAAAATGCCCTCTGCAGGAGGCGAGAGAACCACGTGCCTCCTTTGCATACAAATTTTTTTGCTTGTTAACCCTTGCTTAACTCTTAAAAGGCTTTTCCTCATGACTGGTGAAGCCACGCCTCCCCTGCCTCTAGTGACTGCACGTGCCTGATAAGGACATATCCCTTGAGCAGAGGTTTGGACCAAAAGACCTCCAAGGTTCCTTCCAGTTCTATTCTGATTCAAGAATCTATGAGTCACGATGATCTGGAGAACCTACCTTAAATGTGTTCTAGGCTACATTAACAGAGGGAGAGAAGCAAGATCACGTGAAGTGTTAATACCACTTTACAATGCCTTGGTAAGGCCACACTTGGAATCCTGCACCCAGTTTTGGTCGCCACGATGTAGAAAAGATGTGGAGACTCTAGAAAGAGGGCAGAGAAGAGCAACAAAGAGGATTAGGGGACTGGAGGCTAAAACACATGAACAATTGCAGGAACTGGGCATGGCTAGTCTAGTGAAGAGAAGGACCAGGGGAGACATGATAGCAGTCACTAAGGGGTTGCCACAAAGAAGAGGGAGTCAAACTATTCTCCAAGGCACCTGAGGGTAGAACAAGAAGCAATGGGTGGAAACTAATCAAGGAGAGAAGCAACTTAGAACTAAGGAGGAATTTCCTGACAGTGAGAACAATTAACCTGCGGAACTGCTTGCCTCCAGAAGTTGTGAATACTCCAACACTGGAAGTTTTTAAAAGAGATTCGACAACCATTTGTCTGAAGTGGTGTAGGGTTTCCTGCCTAAGCAGGGGGTTGGACTAGAAGACCTCCAAGGTCCCTTCCAACTCTGTATTCTATAATGTGGACAATGCTATCAATTTTTGAGTGATTTTTTAGGAGTTTTTTCTACCAACCCTCCCCCCCCTCCCCCGACTTTCGTTCTTATTTTGGCATATATTTGTTTTTTTTCTGATTCTTTCCTAGACTTTTCCTCCAGTTCCCATGAAACCAGATTATTCCTTCCATGGCAAGATCAAAGGCCTAGCATCCTTTCTCCCCGTGGCGGAAAAGCCGTGTCCTGCTTACGTGGCCCCAATAAAAGGCAAGGATTTATATCAGAACAATGAAATTAAAAGGGAGAAAAAGGATTTTGAAGAAAAGATACAGTAATTATAAAAATAAGAAAAAGAAGAACCTAGGAGAATGGGTGGAAAGAAGAGAATTTTTTTAAAAAGTGGAATTTTTGAGAGACCAAGAGAAAATGGTTAGAGAAGGAGGAAGGGAAAGAAGGGATATATTAGTAGATTAAAGTGAAATGTATTAATACTGTGAATAGTATGTAGTTAACTAAGATATAAGGGAATTATATTAACATTATTAATTGTGGATAATTAATTACATTAAATGCTTATGTAAAAACTGAATTTGAGGATGTATGCTACTTACAGTAAAACAGACCAACAGATGGAATATGAAATGATAATTTGGTTTAACTTTGAAGGGGCAATTAATGATACTGTTTATGTATTAAGGAGAGAAAAAAAAACAAGTTTAAGATGAAAAATACGGAAACAGAACAATGTGGCTGAAATTGTAAATAGAATGGTGATGTAAAATGGGTTATATATATATGAGAGGATGTTAAAGGGAAAAATCCCGACAACACTTTGTTTATAAAAGATCTTAAAATTTGTAATAAAAAAACCCAAAAACCTTGGGTTTTTTTTTAAAAAAAGGCAAGGAATTATCACCAGGATGGGTGGGAAGGAAATTAATTGTGAGTCTTTCTTGGGTGGAGTTTTGAAAGTTTTGAAAATGGATGGGTTCTGGTTTTGGAAGATGCCCTTCATGATATTGGACCTGAGTACTTGAGAGACCGCCTGCTGCCAATTACCTCCCACAGACCCATTAAATCACACAGGGTTGGCCTCCTCCGGGTTCCGTCTACCAGCCAAGGCCACCTGGCCACTACCCGGGGGAGGGCCTTCTCTGTGGCAGCTCCGGCCCTTTGGAACGAACTCCCCGCAGAGATTCAGACCCTCACCTCTCTCCAGGCCTTCCGGAAAGCCGTTAAAACCTGGCTGTGTCGGCAGGCCTGGGGTTGATGAGCTCCCTTCCCCTCTCGACCTGTGTGGCTGTTGGCTATTTTTAAATGCTAGTCTTGTACATTTGTGTTCCCTTTCCCCCTTGAGTTGTTCACCGCCCTGAGTCCCGCTGGGAATAGGGCGGCGTATAAATAAAACAAATCTCAAATCTCTCAATCTCAAAAAGGCAGTGACGGAAATTGGCCACGTAGAGTTTGGGATCAGGGGGCTTCAAAAAGACCATATCTGCTTAGTTTTCAGCTTATGGGTTAAGAATCCCCCGTTACAGGAACAGGGACTCAAATTGAACGTTAGAACAATTATCTAAAGGCAAGAACGGTTTGACGCTTAACACCCATTATCTAGAGAGGTAAAGTGATCTAAAGATAAGGATGCTTGCCTGTTATCTAGAGAGATTGTGGTAGAGCTGGGTGGATTAATTTGAGTTGCTTTCATTCGGGTTCCTGTGTTGAACAGAGAGTTGGACTTTGAGGCCTCTTCTAACGCTGCAGGTTTGATAAGGAGCTACCTAGCCCCAGCTTTTTCATCACTTAGTTACCGTTGTTGCGTGTAGACACTGTGCCTGTGTGTGTTTCTGAGGTTTTGTGTTGACGTTGAAAAATAGAGGCAAAAAATGCTGTATTCGACGTATAAGACGCACCCAGATTTTCAGCCTCTTTTTTGAGGAAAAAAGGTGCGTCTTATACTCTGAAAAATACGGTAATCTCTCCTCTGGTACAGCTGACAAAGGAGGAGGAGAATCCGTGGCTTAGAGGTTAATACATCTACCTAATATGCAAGCAATCTGGGTTCGAATCCCGGAAGGGTATGGCTAGCTGATGAGAGCTAAATAGCTTGAAATAGATCTATACTAGTCTATTTCTTTGTTGGTAAATATAAATTCAACACATGGTGAGTTGACTTGACTTGAGGAAGGAGGAAAGCTGTGTTATAAGGATCTTGAGCAGGAAACAGACCTGCTAAAATCCAACTTTGCTGAATTCAGTTACTCCGATGGCCAACCCAAAGTAGCCCACTTATGGCAAAACCACACCATAGTGATTATTGGTTCACTTCACCACGGATTTGCTTAAGGAGCACAAATTCACTTAAGATCCATTTATCACCGCCAAATAGGCCATAAAATCCGTTCACAGAATGTGTTTTATGTCCATCATGAGTTACTGCTGTAAGTGCTGCGGTGGCCTAGTGGTGGAGCTCTCCCCTCACAATCAAGAGGCTGTGAGTTCAATCCTAGGTAGAGGCAGATATTTCTCTCTCTGGGCACAATGAGAATGTATCTGCCGAACAAAACTCCACATTGGCAATGGGGAAGGGCAGCTGGCCAGTAAACACTTAGCTCCATTTAATTGCTCAGACTCCACCCCCATACAAGGGATTCTGGGGTCATTAAAATAAGATGATGATGAGTTATTGCTGGGATGGCCAGCTCCGTTACAGTCGTAACCTGAGGACATGTGGGGGGAAGGAGGCCATTAAAAACTGCCCATCCCAGAGGTGCTGACCCTCCAGAGGCAGCTGCCCAGCTGTCTACCAGGTGGAGGGGAGGGCTGGGTCCTTGCTGTGATGCTTCTTCAGCAGGGCTCAAGGATCCGTGGTTGACCATGGCTCTCTTGGGGATGTTCCTTCTCTCATTCCAGTGATTTGCCAGATGGAGGGAAGCGGTCAGTGGCCTCGGAACAAGGAGGCCATTCAGCGCATCAAAGCCGCTTTCCAGATGCAGCTGGCGGAAGTCCTGAACCAGCAACACCACCTGCTGTGCCGGCCAGCCATCACCTACACCGATATACATAAGGTGATAGTCCTGGAGCCCCATCTTCCCTCCCTCCCTCCCTCCCTCCCTCTCTTCCTTCACTATATATTATCTGCTATCCTTCCCTCTTTGATCTTCTTCCTTCCTTCCATCCATCCACCCATCTCTATTATCTTCCTTCCTTCCTCCCACTCTTTCCCCTTCCTTCCTTTCCTTCACTATTATCTTTCTTATTTTCCTTCCATCCATCCCTTCTCTCTACCCCTCTCCCCTCCCCTTCCTTCCTTCTATTTATCTCTCTTATCTCTCTTCTCTATTATTTTCCATCCAGACATCCATCCATCCATTCTATCTCCCTCTCACCCCTTCCTTCCTCTCTTCCATCTATATTATCTCCCTCACTCCCTTCTTTCTCTATTATCTTATTCCTTTGTTCCTTCCATCCATCATCCAACCTTCCTCCCTCCCTCCCTCCCTCCCTCCCTCCCTCCCTTCCTTCACTATATATTATATTCTATCCTTCCCTCTTTGATCTTTTTCTTTCCTTCCT